ATAGACCCCGGCCGTTAGGCGGTCCTGGCTCCATAACGGCAGTGTAGTCAGCTTCAAAGTCAGGTACCCCAATAGTGGGCTGTGCCATAGCTATAACAGTCATCTGTGACAGTGCTGGTACTATGAGCGGGGTGACAGTAGTGGCGCTGCAACTTACAGGAGTAGCCTCTGTAGAATTCAAAAGAGTGACGCTGGCTCGGTTACCTACCTTAAGGACTCCTTCTTTCAGGTCTAGGACAGCAAAATGTGTGAGGAGGAAATCCCAGCCAAAAATTACAGGCTGTGTAACATTCCTGACTACCTGCACAGTGTGTGTGAACATTTCACTACCTAGCCTTATGCTCATAGAGAGAGTGCCCAAGTTGTCCAGATAGTCACCAGTCACAGCTCTAGGGATAACTTGAGGTCGCTGCAATGGTTTCATTCTCAAGGAGGGAAGGGACATCCTAAAGGCTTCACTAATAAGTGATATGTCGGAATCGGAGTCAATACACACTTTAGTGGCAACATTTTCAATAACGGCAAGTATGTAGCGTGTGAATGGTTTGCGTCTGGGTTGTGGTGCTGTGTTGCTATGGGCCTCATCACCATAAGCAGACACTTGGCCCTCAGTGCCTGCTACCATTCTTTTCCCTGACTACGGTGGTCGTCATCAAATGTCACATGCTGGTCTCGGTTACATGGTCTGCGTCTGTCTCTGCCTGTGTATGCAGGGGGTGACCTATGTCTACCTGAGTCATAGGGAGTGTCACGGTCACAGTCGTTATAAAGTGAAGGTCTGACACCATGGTAACGAGGCAGCTGCCTGCTATCTGGGCTGTAAGAGCGTCTCCCGTAGCTGGGAGAGCGGTCATGGCGACGAGATGGAGAAGATGTAGGGGTCGGTGAATATCGGCGATCACGGTGGTCTGGCGAACGCCTAGTGCAGCTGTACTCACTCTGTGGCCTGCTGGATCGATAATAGGTGGCCGTAGAGGGGCGAGCATCTCGAACAGGAGACACTGATGGAGTGTGGCGGTATCCCTCTCTGTCCCTTTCACCTCTGAAATAGGTGGAATGTTCATATTCACGTCTGGATGCATGACGTGGACTGGTGTAGTTCTTATCATGCTCTCGATGAGCAACCTGTAGTTTAAGAGCCTGCACATCTTGGGAAAGTTGTTTAATTGCATCAATAAAGGTTACACAAACACAACAAAATGGCCAAACTAGAACAACAAAATCATGTACTGTGGGCAGGAGTGCTGCTAGAGATTTTGGGCCCCATGAAAGTCTGTCACACGGGGCCCCCAACCCTGACCAATCTCATTATATCCCAGCATTTTTAGTGCCCTTGTCATTTCAGGGGCCTTTGGATTCATGCCAACTTTCCTCCCTTTATTTCGCCCCCTGACTGTGAGAACCAAAAACACAGCAATGCCACATCACTGCAATTTATGGAATATATTTTTTAATGATTTTGAAAGCTTGGTTAATGACTTTGCATGTGGTGGCTAACACAATGATCACATTACACCATAGTTTTGGGTGTAAAATTGTTACAATGGGAAACTACACTATATATTTTGACCAACAAGACTAAAGCAACTGAAAATTGTGCCAAATGATGACAATTGTACCAAAAAAACCATTTGCATATATGTACTACATTATCTGGAAAATTGTGTGAGGCAATGAGAAATGAGGTTCTGCTCTGCAGATTACACAGATGGTGTGGGGATTACACTTCTTGTTTTGCAAATGTTAAATGTCATTTGAGAAATGCAAATTGAGAAAAACTGTAAAGAGTCTGATGCAAACAGCATGTGACAGTATGTGGTGGAAAAACTCATTTGATTTAGTTACTAAACAACCTCATCCAATTTAGCTTTATGTAGCTCATTAAATTCTAATTTGATTTGTTGCTTGGTTGGAAAGCTCTGATTATGGCATCACGCTGCACCAACAGCTTTGTAAAAAGGCTTATTATCATAACATTTTTTCCTTTGCTATTATTATATTAATATAATGTTTAATCAGGGCTGCCAACTTCGGTCATCTCACTGGAGTGAGATTTTCAAATTGAGACAAGTCCGTACACACAGGCAGACGCATTTATATGCATGTAACAGTTTTATTACCTTGTAAATAGTCTGTAGGGTTTGCAAACTACTCAAACCCTTTTGCTGTAGCTAATTTTTTACTTTTTTGCCGTAAGATTTCTTGCATGAGTGCGAGAGTCTGAAAGCACGAGTGTCACACCAGATGCGTGAGAGTGTTGGCAACCCTGGTTTTAAAATTTTTGTTAAACATACACATTTCTTCAAAATGACCATATACATTTTGTAAAAGAACATCATTTCCTGAACAATCCTGTCACCCGTCGTCTGGCTTAACGGGCCCCTCAGTTCAGCTGCTTCATAGCGGCTGAGCTTGGAGCTCCTGGAGGTGTTGGCGTCTTAAGGGAGCCGTCGCTGAGGTCATGCCCTCCATGCTGGATTCCACACGAGACACTGTGTATGTGCTGCTCTGCCGGGCGGCGATGAAGTGGCCCGTCTGCAGCTCAAGGTCATCATAGCTAGATGCCTTGATGAAGGGGCACCACCGGAAGGCACGCTTGAATCCGGATCGGAACCTGAATGTGATCAGAAAGACAGCAGCTACAGCCGACAGCTGTAAAAGATCTAAAAATCATGGCGATTCAGCTCCCTTCATCTCCACCACTGATGAGAATAAATCACCAGGGAATAAAGGGCGAGAATCAAATACAGCAGGAGTGGTCAATCTTATCCGCAAAGGGCCGCTCTGTGTGCGGGTTTTCGCTGCACATCCCTAATTAGATTACTAATTAGAGGACTGATTGGTTGAAGAGTCCTCACACCTGTGTTTGAACAGCTGACCTACAGGTTCTCTCAAAAACCTGCATACACACCGGCCCTTTGCGGATAAGACTGGCCACCCCTGAAATACAGGGACAAAATATATGGAGGACTTCTTAAGACAAAAATACAATGTATAACCCCAGTACTGTGCAGCCATTTTTAATTCTTCAGTGTGAAACAGGTTGCTGACTGTACTAACATGTAACAACATGACAGGTGATGCACCTAAGCGGAATTCTTCCTTCGTCATGCACACAGAGTAGGCCAGGCCTTGACAGACTCACCTACTGTTCAAGCAGCAGTAGATTATGGGATTGTACATGGTGGAGCTCATGGCCAGCCACAGCACAGAGAGGTAAACCTGCTGGATGTACCTCCATCGGCTCAGCAACTTGTTTACCCCAGTAACGATGAAGTAAATGTGGTAGGGCAACCAGCAGAAGGCAAACGTCACCACAACGATAATCATCATCTTCACCACCTGGAGAAAGATGTTTGAGAAATGACAGCTGGTTGGGTACCTGAAGGTGACAGGAGATCTTTAACAAAGCACCTATTGGTAAAGATTAAAGACAGAGAAACTCAAAGTCCACCTTTTAATATCTCCAACATAGACCTCAAAGTCATCTGTTCTATCAAGTCACACTACATTTTGAAAATCGCTAACTACAGGATCCCTGTGAAACTGACTAGGATAAGCAGTTGGAAGATGGATAATTACCAGACACTTTTATCCAAAGCAATGTACAACTGTTTAAGTAGGGTCAGCCAAAGACCCAAGATCAACTGAAATTAAGGGCATGCTCAAGAGCCCAACTGTGAAACCACTCTACTGGCTCTGGGATTTGAATCAGCATCAATCTGATCACAGGCAAAACATCCTCACCCACCCCATACTAATTCTACACCAATAACAAATATTAGTACATCTAAATGCATTGCAAAAATAGAACTCATTAACTGAAATGTCCCCAAAATTCCTTCCACTTGGACTTGTTCCTTCCATATAGTCACGTTGAGTTCACGTAGGGCTGGGCAAAATCACATCAATATTATATCACGCATATGCAATAATCACCAGGGCTTTAGATGATTGGTGAGGCATTTGGCCAATGGCAGCTTTGTGGTATTATACGGACATTTATTTACACCCACAAATTGTTAAGCAGATTAGCAGTACGGCTATAATATTAATGAGATGCGTTTTGTAACGTCCAAAAGTCAGTTCTGGGCATGTCCCATTCTGCAACGCCCCCTAGGCAGATCCAGGACATTCTGGTCGGCTTGTGTCTGTCAGTAGGCTGGGGAACATCTGAGGCTGTCCCAGAATGAGACAGAATCTGTCGGCTTGGAAAGATGATGACAATAACCTTACATGAAACATTTTAATAGTTTGGGACAATGGACCCCTGTTGTGTTTCTGAAATCATTCGAAATTCCTAAACTTTCTGACAGCACATCTTACCCTCCTCTTGGCCTTCAGTTGTTCCTGGTAATTTCCTGATGTGTCTCCAGGAATTTCTGCTCCCCATAAATTAATTCCTACAATGGTGTAGGTGATAGCCATTACCACTAGGGGCAGTACATAGACCAAAACAGTCACAATAATATGATACCTGCAAATGAAAAAGCACAGAAACATCCAATGAACAACCAAAAATTATCTATATAGTTTCATTGCTAAAAATTCCTCACTGTCTGATCCTATGCATGTTTATACAGAATAATTTCAATAAAAAAAACAAAAGAACTGAACAAATCATTGAAAAAAAATTATTCTGCCTCAGTGGGCCAGATTTAGCATTTTCTCCTTATGATGCTACGTTTACTCCAGGTACTGTACTCCAGTTTCCCCACTCAGTCCAGACACAGACACCTAGACCAAAGCACAGTGTGAGACTGAGTGTGTTCACCGCAGTGATGCTCCCCCTTAAGGGACCTTATACTGGAAAATTGGTTGCGGATAATTTAGCACAGTATCTTGGTTATTGATTCATTTTATAAGCATAAATGTTCTTGCTTTTTGACCACATGACCATTGTTTTATCCCTTCCACTGAAAAACAGGCATTTTGAGAAAGTGCAATGACGTAATTAAATAATAGTGCAAAGGCGATGGGCCCACAGGAAGCTGTCTTGGGAGTGCCGTGGCCAGGCCACATAGCAGAGTGTCCGCTCCGGGCGGGTCTTGGTGCAGGAGTAGTAGCACAGTGGAAAAGCTAGAGCGACAGCCATGGCCCATATGCAGAGAATGAGCAGCTTGGTGGCTGTGGCTGACAGTCTGGGCCTCAGAGGGTGAATAATGGCCAAATACCTTAAACCAACATGGGCAGAAGATGCAGTTATTCACTGTAATATATAAACAAAATCCGTTAATAACAACAGCTCCTTACATTTTGGAAAACAGGTTTTAATGGTTCCCAACTTGAGATCACAATACAAAATCATTTTATTTTTTTACCACAAAAAAAACTCAATTTGCTGCATGAAACTCACCTTTTACTATTGTTTCATATTATCCAGTAAACTCTGAATTGTTTCCATATACTTCCATTTTCTATGCCTGATGGTCCTGCGCTGGTATATGTGAGGGTCCAGAGCCTATTCTTGGAGCTACGGGTGCAATGCAGGGAATAATCCAGGGTGGGGCACCAACCGACTTCCATACTCTGATTAAGAAATACTAATTGGTAATATTTTAATTAAGGCACCCGTGTACAAGGCGTTATAGATACCTTCATAATGCATTACAATGCATTCATAAAGGATTAAACAAAAGGCTATAACTATTCACAAAAAGCTGTAACACATTATAACCATGTCTATTATGCATTATTAATGTTCTATGAAGTTCTCTTCTATAATGCACTATAAATACCTTCATAATGCATAATAATGGCTTATACTGACCATAATAACGCATTATAGATGGCAGTTTCACAGAGCATTCATAATGCATAATAAACATGTAATATGTTGTGCCTTTTATAAATAGTTAAATCAGTGTTTAAAATAACTTATGAGTGCAGTATTATGCATTATGGAAATATCTTTAACTAATTATGAGGACTGCAATTTTTCTCCAGGAACCATTAAAACCGATTCGTGTGCTTATTATAAGTTGCTTTGTAAACATGCAAAGTCATCTCATTTAGATGTTCTTACCTATCCACAGATATTGCGGTCATCGAGTAGATGCTGGCAAACACCGCCGCTACAGGAAAGAAGTTGTGAAACTTGCAATAAGAGTTTCCGAAGTACCACTGACTGTGTAGAGCGTATATGAAATTAACGAGAGTGTTGAAAGCAGTCATAGAGGCGTCGCAGAAAGCCAGGTTCAGTAGAAAGTAGTTGGTGACGGTGCGCATCCGCCTGTGCGCCGCGATGATCCAGATCACGGTCAGGTTCCCGAGGAGCGACACCAGTAGAACTACCGCATAGGCAACGGACCACAGCGCGACCCTCCACGGCGGCTGGACGAACCGGTTCGTCACGTTACCGGGTGTTTCAGTGAGGTTACCCATCGGTATCTTTAGGAAGCGTAAACCATGTATGCAGTTCTTCGAAGCTCACAAGCTTTACGAAGCCGCAAGTGGGCTGCCCGTTAAGGCTGTCAGTAATTTTACTGGAGTAAATCGGATAAATAGTTTTGACAGTCCACCCTGGACAGAAAGGAGCGCGGTGCCTGTCTTAAATGCCACTGGGCGGGGGGCGGGCAGTTACATATTAATATAATTACACACTTTGCTCGTTAATGACGTTCACTAGTCAAATCAAGCCATATCACGAAACGACCAAAGCACCTCTAGGATATGAGAAGTGAACATACTTAGCACGATATTTACACAAAGCCGGTCGGGCATGGATACGGCAAATTCAGGTCGCGGACAGTTTGAATCCGTGGGAAATTGCCAGTCATGCCCTGACATCCACATTTCTGACAGATGTTATGCAGAAGAAACTGCTGTCATAAGGCATTTATAAAGTTAATTTGTTTATTCAGTTCACCATTCAGTGATCCACTCACCATAACTGTCTGGAGGGTTTATAAAATGATGATTTTTTTTTCTCCCCTGTCGTGTCCGGCAGTTTAGCAAGCAGGATGTTAGTCTGGGTGCTTTATTGTGCCAACACTTTTATTTTGCCAAGTGGAGTTTCGGATTAAGCTCCTCTTGTTACTTGAGATATACTCTTTATTCACCGTTTTAGATTATTGCGCCATTATGCCGGAGCCGACAGGGAAAGTTAACTGAAATAGGAGAGATAAAGAGAGGAAGAGAGGAGGGAGAGAAAGAGGAGAGGGAAAAAGAGAGAAAGAGAAGAATGAGAAAAAAGGGGGGATCAGATACAGAGAGAAAAACAGTGAGAGAAAAATAATACATGACAACTTAAGAAAAAGTAGAGCAAAAGGAAAGAGTAACAAAAGGACAGCTTCTGCATCTTGAAACTGGACATTGTATCATCACACCAGCTGCTGTATCTGAAAAACAAGATCCAGGTGCCACACAAAAAGTATACATACAAAGAAACCAATGGTACCATTATGACAGTGAATAAGCTTGTGGCAGTATCTGCTTCTGGAATTAAATACATTAATACCAAAGAAAAAGATACATAAGCAGACCAACAGGAACACAGTCTGGATATCGCCGCACCAGTATCTGCATCTGAGAAGAAAGGATGGAAACCACACACACACACACACACACACACACACACACACACACACACACACCCAGACAAGGAGGACAGAGAGGGATAACATAGGGCAAGAAAGCCCTGGGCTATCATGTATGTGCATGTGTGTGTATGTGTGTGTGTGTCTATGTATATGTGCATGTGTGTGTATGTGTGTGCGCGTTCTATGTGTATGTGGGTGGGTGTGAATGTGTGTGCGTGTTCATATGTACGTGTGTATGTGCATATATACGTGTGTGTGTGTGTGTGTATGTTTGTGTGCTGTGAGTGTATGTATGAGTGTGCAGGTTAACATGGAATGATTCCCAATAAGAGTGCGAGGCCACAACAGCGCCGCCCCAGGGCCCCCAGACGGCCAGGAGAGACCCAAGTGATCATGGACCCAGCCGCCCCACGGCGGCCAGGTACCCGGACCTCCCGCCACCGGAGGGCTGCGTGTCCGCCCAAGGAGGCAGAGGGGGGAGGCACCGGGCGCCCCCCACCGGCGAGCACGAGCCAGGAGCCGCACGGCCACAGGCGGCAGCGCACCAGTTCCCCCCAAGGGCCAGCCGCGCAGGCACAGACAGAGCCCAGAGCCCGGGCCACCTGCACACCCCGCGGGGGCCCCGCCAGCCCCAGGCAGACCTGCACCCCCCCAAGAACCCCCACCTGGGAGACCAGGGAGACGCCCTGAGAGCCACCAGGCTACCCCGACCCCCCCTCCCC